GTGGCAGGAGGAGTCAGCGTGTGGGAAGGTTTCCCCGTCACCCCAGTGCCATAGGGGTGGGAACCAGTGTGTGGGGAAGCCCCCCCCCCCATCCTCCCTGGTGCTATGGGGTGCTGGTGTAGTGTGGAGAAAGTTTTCCCAGGCGGGACCACCCACTGGTGCCGGGAGGAGCTCCCCTCTGTATACCCCCACTTCCCACCCTCCGGGCAGGGGATGGTGTGAGGGGGTGTTCCCCCTCCCCAGTCCTCCTGGTGCTGGTGTGGGAAGGGAGTGGTTTGAAGTGGGCATTTCCCCCCCTTTCGTATTCCCCTGGTGGTGGTGGGGAAGGCAGTTGATGAGCGTGGCGAGGTGAGATAGTGTTGGGGCAGATTCCCCTCTCCCTGTGTTCCCTGACACACTCCACGCCCCCCCAGCACCAGAGGGGAGGTCTCGTTTGCCCTTCCTTCCTGCTGCTGTTGTGGTAGGCGGTCAGTGTCAGAGAACATCCTCTCCACCCACGTCGATGTTCTGTTGGTGCTGCTGGGATAGTGGGGGGATCTCCTTTCTGGCCTTGCTGGAAGGGGCTTTCATGATCTGATTTAGCTGGGGATTGGTCCTGCTTTGAACAGGGGGTGGGACTAGATGACCTCCTGAGGTCCCTTCCAACCCTGATATTCTATGATCTCAAAGGACTGGCTGAGTTTCTCTTGGAGGACACATTTCCCAGCTCTACCCATGACTCCTACCGTCATAGGTCCTCATTCCCAGCCGTCCGTCCCAAGCAAGCCCGCTTGGTAACCGTGATTTTAATCAGGATCCAAAAGCGTCACTCGTGCTACGTGAGGCCCCAAGCAGCAGCCCTTGGATGCTATAGCTCCCAGCATGCAGTGCTCCATCTTGATACGAGTGTTCCAGGCCTCGTGTGCTTGGACTTGTAGGCTCCATGGGCTCCTTTGTTTTATGGCAGGCCTGTTGGACTCTTGGGCCTCTGGTGAGTGGCTAGTGCAGCTTGAGAATGTGTGAGGTTTGGACACCCACTGTTCTTTTAAAAGTGGGCATTTGTGGATGACACCAAGCTGGGAGGGGGCGCAAGCACTTTGGAGGACAAGATTAGTATTCAAAATGGCCTTGACAAATTGGAGAATGGTCTGAAATCAGGAAGATGAAATTCAGCAAAGATAAGTGCAAAGTACTGCACTCAGGAAGGAAAAAGCAAATGCACAACTACAAAACGGGGAATAAACTGGCCAGGCAGTAGTACTGCTGAAAAGCATCTGGCAGTTCCGCTGGATCACAAAACGAATATGAGTCGTCAATGTAATGCAGTTGCAAAAAAGGCTAATACCTTTCTGGGGCTTACTGACAGGAGTGTCGTCGGTAAGACATGGGAAGTAATTGTCCTGCTCTACTCAGCACTGGTGAAGGCCTCAGCTGAAGTACTGTATCCAGTTCTGGGCACCAGATGTGAATAAACTGGAGAGAGTCCAGAGGAGAGCAACAACAATGATAAAAGGGTTAGAAAACCTCACCTGTGAGGAAAGGTTAAAAAATGGGGCATGTTTAGTCTTGAGAAAGGAAGACTCAGGGGGGACCTGATAAGTCTTCAAATATGTTAAGGGTTGCTGTAAAAAGGGTGGTGATCAATTGTTCTCCATGACCACTGAAGGAAGGATAAGAAGTAATGGGCTTAATCTGCAGCAAGGGAGATTTAGGTTAGATAGTAGGAAAAACTTTCTAATGATAAAGGCAGCTAAGTTCTGGACTAGGCTTCCAAGGGAAATTGAGGAATCCCTGCCATTTAAAAACAGGCTGGACAAACACTTGTCAGGGGTATGGTCTAGGTTTACTTGGTCCTGCCTCAGTGCAGGGCCTGGATGTAATGACCTTTCAAGATCTTTTCCAGCCCGACATTTCTGTGATTCTATGGGCAGAATAAGTGTAGCGGAAGAGTACTAGCTCAGTGGATTTCTGTTCTGGGGCTCAGAGTTTTCCCTCTCTAGTTTATTGTGGATTGTGTTATATTAGATGGTCTATTGCTGGATTATTTCTCTAGTCCTGTAAGTGTGCAGGCATTTTATGCGTGTATGACTTTGGACATCTAAAGAAGCATCAGGCTTTTTAGCTGTAACATCACTGGTCGCTTCCCCTTCCCTCTGACTGTATTAATGTTTCTCTTAAGCAGACTTGTTTTCAGTGAAACCTGCTTTCTGTGCATGTCCTTGAAACCACTCCACCTCATTTGCTCTTGCAAGCAAAGCAGAGTTAGTCCTGATCAGTGCTTGGAATGGAGATCTCCAAGAAACATCTTGATGGTGCCAGAAGTGGCATTGGTAATGGAGAGGGTTCTCTCAAAAGGGGTTTTCTTTCTTCCTTTAGTCAGGAATAGCGTTCAAACCCCATTGTGGTGCTGCAGGGAGGGGCTGTGTGATTCAGCAGAGGATGCTCTATGCTAAGTCAGGATTGACCCCAGTGCCTAGTGAGGATTTAGGGGGCTGCTGGAAGTGCTGTCTGTGGATAAGATGTAAAATCAAAGGTTTGACCATTTGTGGATATTAAAGGTACTATGGTACTTTCTTCAAAAACTGGCTTATTCACCTCAGTATCATCTGCAACTTTCAATTTAAGTAATTTAATTTCGCCTCCCTAAAAATTCCCTCTGATTTCAACTGGTTATGGAATTCTCCTTTAATATCTGTTGTAAATTGCTGGGCAATGTTGCTGTGTGCCTTAAACCACTGCTGTGTCCCACCGGAGAGGTAGCTGCATTTCAGTGCTGCTCTGATCCCTGTGTATATGTTTGCCACGCCCTTTTGGATTTCTGATGGAGGGGTGCTATAGACATGTCTGTTGTTTTTTTTTTAGGGACAAGGCAATGCTGTAAACTCCTGGCTCCGGGAGGCCCCTCAGCCCATCACTTTTCTCTGTGCTGATGGATGGAAACCACTGATAGCTGCAACGTGGAAGCACTTTTCCTTCCCTCTTGAGCTGCTTGCTGCAGTGAGCTCTGCCTGGCCCAGCTGGCCCCCCCACCCGTCTGGAATGCAGCTCACGCCTTTCTCTGCCTCTCCCAGGACAGCTCAGGGCAGCATTTGGGCTATAGATTAACCAAGGTTCAAGGTAATAACTTTCTGTTCCTGGAGAATGTTCTACCAGAATGGTCCTTTCAAAGGGAAAGTCAGTCTGAGACTGTGACCTATCTGACCTGGGCTGGAGAGTTGATACTGTTACAGGTTGTAATAGGTATGGAAGTGTTTTGCCAGTCCTGGGATGTTCCCTCAGGTGTGCCCATGTATCTCTCTTCTTACCTGCAGTTCCCCTGCTATCCCTGTCCTGGGACCCCTACACGATTTGCTCATGCACTGTTCCTGAGTTGCTCCCACCTCCTTCTCCCTAACATTGCTGCTTCTCTCCAGGTGTGAGGGGAGCAGCCTAGAAGTGGAGTGCTTGGGCAGCTCCACCTTGTTCTTCCGCTCGCACATGCAGTGTGAGTGCACCATGAGCAACATGCTGTTGTCACTGTGCTGCCTCGTCCTGGCCCACTTGGACACGTGTTTCAGTCTCTTTGTGCCTCAGTCACTGTAGCTGGGAAACTTAGTCAGTCCCCAGCCTCCTCACTGAAAACGAGACGTGGGTCAGTGTAGATGCAGCCCGTGTACCATAGTGAATGGGTGATGATAAGAAGCCAAAGAAGAAGGTCCAGCTTTCCTGAGGAAATAGAGAGAGGGTATGTGTGGGAGCAGATCCTGCTGAACTTCTCTCGTCTTCACTTGTCGGTGTCACAGGTTGTGCCACAAGTTTGGTTTCCCTTTTATAATTAATTAGGTCTCATATCAAAAGGCTGTTCCCATGGAACCAGCTGGGCTTCTTGCTGCTGAATGGCAGCGACTGCTACTTAATCAGTAGTTGCAAAGCTTTCACTTAAGAAGGACACCTATGGCTAGTCACGCTAGATGATGCATAAACGGGAATTTTGAGTAGGAGCAGAGAGGTTATTGTACCACTGTATTTGGCACTGGTGCGAGCGCTGCTGGGATCCTGGGTCCAGTTCTGGTGCCCACAGTTCAAGAAGGATGATGATAAATTGGAGGGGGTCAGAGAAGAGCCACGAGAATGATTAAAAGATTAGAAAACCTGCCTTAGTGATAGACTCAACACACTCCATCTATTTAGCTTCACAAAGAGAAGGTTAAAGGGTGGCTTGATTACAGTCTGTAAGCACCTACCTGGGAAACGAATATTTAATAATGGGCTCTTCAGTCTAGCAGAGAAAGATCTAACATCCAATGGCTGGAAGTTGAAGCTCGACAAATTCAGACTGGAAATAAGGGGTACATTTTTGACAGGGTAATTAATCATTGGACCAATTTACCAAAAGTCATGGTGGATTCTCTGTCACTAACCATTTTAAAATCAAGATTGGATGGTTTTCTAAAAGATCTATTCTAGGAATTTTTTGGGGGAAGTTCTATGACCTGTATTATACAGGAGGTCATTGTGATCATCTAGTCTGATCACTCTGGCCTTGGAATCTCTGAATCTGTTTGTAACAGGACTTGAAATAGGTGGGAGATTCTGAATTCTGGGGCTATGAAATATCAATTTGATTATTATACCTGAATTTAGGGTAAACAGTGAGGTGACAAAATTTGCACATGATACAAAACTACTCAAGATAGTTAAGTCCCAGGCAGACTGCGAAGAGCTACAAAGGAATCTCACAAAACTGGGTGATTGGGCAACATAATGGCAGATGAAATTCAGTGTTGATAAATGCAAAGTAATGCACACTGGAAAACATAATCCCAACTCTACATATAAAATGATGGGGTCTAAATTAGCTCTTACCACTCAAGAAAGAGATCTTGAGCGGTAACAGCACCCTCAGCAAGTTTGCAGATGACACTAAACTGGGAGCAGGGGTAGATACGCTGGAGGTTAGGGATAGGATACAGAGGGACCTAGACAAATTAGAGGATTGGGCCAAAAGAAATCTGATGAGATTCAACAAGGACAAGTACAGAGTCCTGCACTTAGGATGGAAGAATCCCATCCACTGCTACAGACTAGGGACCGAGTGGCTAGGCAGCAGTTCTGCAGAAAAGGACCTAGGGGTTACAGTGGACGAGAAGCTGGATATGAGTCAACAGTGTGCTCTTGTTGCCAAGAAGGCCAACGGCATTTTGGGCTGTATAAGTAGGAGCATTGCCAGCAGATCGAGGGATGTGATCATTCCCCTCTATTCTGCATTGGTGAGCCCTCATCTGGAGTACTATGTCCAGATTTGGGCCCCACACTACAAGAAGGATGTGGAAAAATTGGAAAGAGTCCATCGGAGGGCAACAAAAATGATTAGGGGGCTGGAGCACATGATTTATGAGGTGAGGCTGAGGGAACTGGGATTATTTAGTCAGCAGAAGAGAAGAATGAGGGGGGATTTGATAGCTGCTTTCAACTACCTGAAAGGGGGTTCCAAAGAGGATGGATCTAGACAGTTCTCAGTGGTTTCAGATGACAGAACAAGGAGCAATGGACTCAAGTTGCAGTGGGGGAGGTTTAGGTTGGATTTTAGGAAAAACTTTTTCCCTAGGAAGGTGGTGAAGCACTGGAATGGGTTACCTAGGGAGGTGGTGGAATCTCCTTCCTTTAGAAGTTTTTAAGGTCTGGCTTGACAAAGCCCTGGCTGGGATGATTTAGTTGGGGATTGCTCCTTCTTTGAGCACGGGGTTGGACTAGATGACCTCCTGAGGTCCCTTCCAACCCTCATATTCTATGATCTTTGAGTCATTGTGGATAGTTCTCTGAAAACATTTGCTCAATGTGCAGCGACAGTCAAAAAAGCTAACAGAATGTTGGGACTCATTAGGAAAGGGATAGATAAGGAGACAGAAAATATCATAATGCCTCTATATATATCCATGGTACCCCCACATCTTGAATACTGTGTGCAGATGTGTTTGGCCCATCTCAAAAAAGATATATTGGAATTTGAAAAGGTTCAGACAAGGGCAACAAAAATGATTAGGGGTATGGAACAGCTTCCATATGAGGAGAAATTAATAAGACTGGGACTTTTCAGCTTGGGAAAGAGACGACTAAGGAGGGATATGCTAGAGGTCTATAAAATCATGACAGGTGTGGAGAAAGTAAATAAGAAAGTGTTATTTACTCCTTCTCATAACACCAGAACTAGGAGTCACCAAATGAAATTAATAGGCAGCAGGTTTAAAAGAAAAAAAAGGAAGTATTTCTTCACACAACGCCCAGTCAACCTATGGAACTCTTTGTCAGAGGATGTTGTGAAGGCCAAGACTATAATAGGGTTAAAAAAAGAACTAGATAAGCTCATGGGGGATAGGTCCATCAATGGCTATTAGCCAGGATGGGCAGGAATGGTGTCCCCAGCCTCTGTTTGCCAGGAGCTGGGAATGGGTGACAGGGGATGGATCACTTGATGATTCCCTGTTCTGTTCATTCCCTCTGGCATTGGCCACTGTCAGAAGACAGGATACTGGGCTATATGGACCATAGGTCTGACCCAGTCTGGCCGTTCTTATGTTCTTATTTATTTTTAATATTTATTGTGGCAAGTGGAGTGTCCTTGGTTGAAATCTCAATTAAAGGTGGCCACTCAACTGGATACCCAGTTCTTCTGGAGGACTTTTGGGGCTGTTGAATCTTTAACGAAGCCAAGTGTTGAGAGAGAAGTTTATTAATAGGTGTTGACATAGATAGACAAAGGGGCAGAGCTTGAGGCAGCACTGAATAAAAATCACTTCCCCATTCAGGTTTAACTGGATGGCCTCGCTGATGTAATCTTATCAGTTTCCTAGACCTTCACAGTCTTCTAGGGCAGTGGGTCTCAAACTTTTTTTTTCACGGACCATTTGAAAATTGCTGAGGGTCTCGGCGGAGCACTTAATGATCTTTCCAAATGTTGTTTGTACCATGAGCTAACTGTCATAAAGCGCTTTGGATAAAAGCACTATATAAAAAAAACCTTAATAATAATAAACTTTTTTTGTTCTACAAATAAAAGCACACAACTCCTATTTGAATATCAGTAGTCTTACCTTTCTAATGCAGTGGATGTGCCCTCTCTCCCCTGCCGCAGCAGTCCCTGAGCTGGGAAGAAGGGCCGTTTCTCCGCAGTAGCCGCAGCCCTGGAGCTGGGGAAAGTCGCCTCTTTCTCTGGCCACCGCAGCCCTGCACGTCCCAAATTCCCCCCACCCCCTCTTCTCACCCCGCTGCCCCCTCCCACCTACCTACCCCCTATTCCCCCCAAGGCCACCACCTCACCTTACATGTGCGTCTTCTCCAGGGTCCAGGCACATAATTAGTGGAGCCATGCCAGGGCAGCTCCACTGATTAGGTGGGTGGCCCTTCATTCTCTTGTGTGCAGCCACCCAGGCATGCACCTTAGATGGAACTATCCGCAAACCACCTGAATGGAGCTCGTGGTCCACTGGTGATCCACAGACCACAGTTTGAGAACCTCTATTCTAGAGGAAAAGGGTAGACAAGACATGAATTTGCAATGAAAAATAACAAGCAGAAAAGATATGTAGAACTGACTTTCGTTTCTTCTTTGTAGATCATAAAGGGCACAAGTCATTTTACTTTCTGTGCAGGCCCCCTGAAGAGGATTGTACTGCAATATTGTGATGTCTGAGCACAGTGCCTAGCACTATAGGCCCCTGATCCCTGATTGAAGCTTTTAGGTTCTGCAGCAATACAACTATAAATCATAATCTATATTAATTTCTATGCAAGGGTCTCAAACCTCTTTGCAAACATTCACTTGTGAATTGTTAAAACATTTCTGTGAGGTGGGTAACTATCATTATCCCCATTTAACAGATGAGGAAACTGAGTCACTGAAGTGCCCGAGGTCAGAGTTGGAGTTGGTGGCAGAGCTAGGAATGCCCGTAGGAATCCTGACTCAAGCTACCAGTCAAAACTCCCGTGTTGCAGCACTTTCCCCTATGACTACTGGCTCTCAATGCCTCAGCGTGGTGTAGGAGGTCTGTGCTGTTGGGGGCTGCCATTTTTCAGATAGGATTCTGTGTCCACCAGAGCTCTGTCTGTGGGCATCGCAGTGCAGAATCAGGGCCCCTGAT